TTTTTTGTTGATAGTTCCTGAGAGGAAAGTCATATTTGGAGTTGTATGAGAATCATTCAACAGTTTTGCTTTGAATGTGGTATTCATTTTTGTGGATTAATCTGAAGAGTGGTGTGGAAATTATTTGAAGGTAGATGCTGAATTACTGAAATGATATCAAATGGTTAATTTAAGGTGAATCTGTTAACGTTGGCTGTAGATTCGTTGACCAGTGTTGATGATTTTCTGGCGGTCAGTGAGGCGCATATCATCGAAGACGTCAAAATTGGGATTCAGGTAATTCTGATGCAAGTCTTGACATGTAAACATTCCAGAATAATAATGGTGTATTTAATTTTTTTACATGATGGTAATGAATGAGATTTTAATTGATATTAGCATTATTTTCGGTTGGATTTTTTAAGATACTCTCAGTGATAATTATCATTTTAATTTTGGTAATATTGAAGGCGGTGTTGAGCAGTGATGGCTACTTGCTGGATCGTACGGCGGGTGGTATTCGAGGACGTTCGTTGCGGGTTTGTAGTGTAGTGGATAACGAGATGGATGCAAATCCTACCAATCCGTACACAGAACGTGTGAAGAAGGCCACAAAAATGTTACGAGAGGATGGTACGTAATATTTATTTGAGAATTGGTCATATTTATTTGAATTGAGAATTTATTTAGTCGTTGCGATTGTAATTGTTTGATTGGAAGTGAGGCAGTTTGATGAATCGATGTTGCAGTTATAAACGAATTTTCGACACGTGCCGAACGAGTGGTGAATAAATTGGAGAACGAAGAAGAGCCAAGTAATCAGAATGAGGATATCGACGAGATTATTGAAGCGAGCGAATTGGTGCACAATGCCGTGAAAGAGATCCGAAACGCATTGCTGATGAATCGAAATCCGGAAGATGTGGACTCTGATAATGAATACGAAGATGGTTCGTTTCTTTCTTTTTTTTTTACTTTTTGATTGATTTCAACCGACCTAGTTTCTTCGTACTGAATGAATGGATGAAGGATGATGCTGAAATGAATCAAGACACGAGCAGTCATGTTTTGACTGAGTGGTAATAGTCAAGAAGAGACTATAAAATGTCTTAATCACATTTAATTGAATTTAATTTCGTTGATTGATTTGTGGTGTCGTCGTAAAAACGTGTGCAGCATGTACATGGATCATGAACGATATGTGATAAAAGCATGGAACACTTATTTAAGATGGTCAGACAATCTATCCGGACAACAGAAGTCATGTTTCGGACGCAGAGAATCAACAACGCCTTATGAGAAGACTCCCAGAAGAGGATAAAAAGAAAATCCAAGAACAAATCGATGTATTCAAGGTATCATTGAAACTTATCTATCTATCTATTTTCGCCCGCATCTTTTCAGCTCTCCATTCGTACTACTAATCGAATTGTTGTTATTGTTGAATGAGGAATACTGATAAAATGAAGTGACTCGATTTTGCAGATCACTCAAAGTAAATTCGAAAGAGAAGTGGGAAAATGGGATGAGACTGGTAATGATATAATTGTATTGGCGAAACATATGTGCATGATTATGATGAATATGACCGATTTCACAAGGTATTTGTTGTTTCATCTAACTGATTGTTTAACTTCTTTATTAGTACGTTCGGTTTGCTAATGGATTTAAGCGGTTGCAGTTTACATCGAAT